TTTGTAATTAATCATTAATTAACTGTCCATAAAATAATAAATCTAATATAATTATCGTACTTGGCATAAAAAATTTAACTTCTAGAATCTTTTTTTAAACGAATATGCGTTTTCCAAAAAATAAAATGAAAATAAATAATTAAAAATCAACAAAATCAGTTATAACGTATTTTAAGACTTTTAAATGTTTTTTACTGTATGTAGTGTTTTTGTGGGCTATTTATTGAAAAAACAACATTGAAGTTATTATTTTTGAATTTCTTTGTAAAATTTCTTTTACTTGAGTTTTACTTTTATTATTCTAAGTTAAGAGAAAAAAAAGTTATGAGATATAGATCAGTTATTTCTATTAAATTTGACTCTTCGACTCAACTTAATAGGCCCGGGGGCACGGGTTAACCTTAACGGATCAGTCCCAATTTTGCACAGCTCATTTTTTTGACCATTAAAAAAAAATTAAGGGGTAGCGTAAAAAAAAAAAGACTTTTGAGGGCCACCCTAATATTTATATAATGATAGTAGTGAAATAGTCTAAAAAGGCAGTACGGTATTCGAGATTACCAAAAACTAAGAGATGGAAACTATCAACTATATAAAGTAAAAAGGCTGAGATAACAATTTTATTATATTGTAAAAATATACAGTATATACACATTTTAAGTCTTGGGAGCAAAGCCTCCGTGCTGTTGCCGGCAACACTCGAGGAGAAGTCCCTAAAGCAAAGCTGTATATAAATGCACATACCACCCTGGGTTGCTTTACATACATAAAACCGTATACTTATTAATTCAACACACCAAGAGAATAATTTTAAATTATAATTTATTTTAATAACCTTATTATTTTTAAACCCTCGAATCACGACCCTAGAAAAATTTTATAATTAATTATATGTAGTTCTATATAATTGTCGAGCTATAATATTTTCATAATAAAAGATAATAAAAAAAACTCTTACTTGGGTAAGAGTAGAAGTGCATCAGAGTTTTGCTTTAAACCCTTACTTGTTTTCTATAGTGTAAAAATATATTATAATGAAATTCTAATTCTCAGAGTGAATATTTCAAGACTTTACATTTAAACGTTAAGTTAATTATCTTAATATAAATGACAGGTCGGATGTTTTACTTGACACTCGAATAATAAATATAAATAATAAAGTATTTAATAAAACGTACGTTGGGGCTTCGCCTATACAGGTCGACACGAACCCAACAAAGAAAGCTATGTTAGATCACTGGCTACGAGTCAATAGACTCAACAGTACGATCTAACGTCAACCGCGGACATGAACGTAATGACAGCAAGGTGTCGGTATTGCCGGACACGATTGTTATTATTACAAAGAGAGGGGTAATGAGCGATTTCAAGCTATGTGGAGCTTGACCGGACTACACACATAACTTTTGAACATATAGTAATGGATGAAATTACTAGAGAAATACAATGAGAGGTGCCGTGGTATATGTTGTTTGCTGACGATGTACTGTTAATAGGAGAAAATAGGGAGGAAATTAATCAAAGGCTAGAGGTGTGGAAATCAGCTCTTGAAGAAAAGGGTTTAAGAATAAGTAGGAGTAAGAAAGAGTATATAGAGTACGAGTTTGATAAAGGAGAACACGAGTTAAGTGAAATAAGGAGATCAGTAACAATAGGCGAGAACGTGATTGGAGAGGTGGAGAGTTTTAAGTATTTAGGGTCAGTTGTGCAAAAGAATGGTGGTATTGACGAGGATGTAAGACACAGAATTAAGTGCGGGTGGTTGGAGTGGAGAGAAGCGTCTAGCGTCTTATGCGATAAAAGAATTTCAATGAGGCTGAAAGGTAAATTTTACAAGACTGTAATAAGGCCAGCTATGATGTATGGTTCAGAGTGTTGGGCGGTTGATAAGAAAGTAGAGCAGAGAATAAGTGTAGCAAAGATGAAAATGCTTAGATGGATGAGTGGAGTGACTAGAAAAGATAGAATAAGGAACGAGCATATAAGAGGGAATATAGGTGTAGTGACAATCTTGGATAAGATGAGAGAAAATAGACTTAAATGGTTTGGTCATGTTATGAGGAGAAAAGAATCGGAAGCTGTAAGAACAGTTATAGAAATGAATGTTGAAGGAAGAAGAGGTAGAGAAAGGCCAAATAAATATAGTTTAAAAAAACTAAAAAAACACGCTTTTAAAGCACATCGAACTAAAAAGTTAAAAATAATTTTTAAAATAATTATGAACAAAAAATACTAGTATTATTGTGATAAAAGCATCAAGCACTCAATATACGAAAAATATGGCACAAAGCACCCACGCTTTTATCACAATAATATTAGTATTTTTTGTTCATAATTATTTTAAACTTATTTTAAAAATTATTTTTCACTTTTTAGTTTCATGTTATGATAGTAGTTACTATCAATATCATGGTTATAACGGGTAACTGGAAATCAGTGTTCGATTCCGGGGAGGGAGTCTTAGAAACGGTTACCACATCCAAGGAAAGCAGCAGGCGCGTAAATTACCCACTCCCGGAACATGGAAGTAGTGACGAAAAATGACGATACTGGATTCATCCTTTGTAATCGGAATGAATGAGTTCTATATCTCTAAATAAGAATAAAGTGTGTTAATATATATTTTTAATAGTAATTAGAATATATATATACATGTAAAGCGTCTTAAGTACGTAAACGTATCATGCAATAGGTACAGTCGTGTTTTGTGGGCGGGCTGGTCGGACTAACGTTATACCTGTGGTATAAACGGCGGTAGGAATATATACGTAAACCGTATGCACGCAGATGATAATGGTCAGTCAAAATAAAAATTTGTTTATATATACAGAGTGATTTTTTTATCATAACCCACTCAATTACTTACAGAATAATAATAATTACAATTTTTTTTTTTATTATTACCTTTAGTTACACATTATTCTTGAATTATTAACTATGTAATACTTTTTAAGTTCATCCCTTATGCCTGGTAAGGGTGTCAACTTTGTTTTTTTAAATGGTAACACATATTTTTAATTTAATAAAATGTTTGAGTTTTTAATTCAATAGTAAATGGCATTTGAATTTTTAATAAAACTTAATTTGTTTATTAGATATAAACATTTAAAGTTTCAAATTTTTGAGTTAATATATAGGTATAATACACAAGGGATTACAAATACAGGTAGCTAATTGGTTTTTTATGATATTGCTATCACAGTCACGGATTGTTTATTATCAATTATGACTATCAATAGATATACTTTTTGTATTGTCAGTTAGTGTATTTATAAACTCACAACAATGTACCTTACTATCATTGATAATAACAATGCTGTGTACCTGCTAATATCGATGTCATAAAAAATCAATTAGCTACCTGTATTTGTAATCCCTTGTGTATTATACCTATATATTAACTCAAAAATTTGAAACTTTAAATGTTTATATCTAATAAACAAATTAAGTTTTATTAAAAATTCAAATGCCATTTACTATTAAATTAAAAACTCAAACATTTTATTAAATTAAAAATATGTGTTACCATTTAAAAAAACAATGTTGACCCCCCTCCAAGGCATAAGGGATGAACTTAAAAAGTATTACATAGTTAAAAATTCAAGAATA